TCGTCAGTCCCCATGGGCTTTTTAAACTGTTAGTTACTGTGGTAATTTGTGTAAATACTTCTCTGCAGTCTCTGGCTCTATTTCATATTGAAAGATAAGTCAATGTTCGAGGCTTAAAACTCAATTGATGTGCCATAATATACAACCGCGAGCTGCGTAAGAATAATAATAATAATTGTCTTGTATGTATCTTCCGACAGCCGGAAATCAGTTAGCCTTAATTGGCGTCTGGCGTCTCAGCTGTAGATGAGAAATTCAGCCAGTGCAATAAAACCGCCAACCTGGTGTCTTTAACGTGGACAACGCAGTGTGGTATACGCGACCTCAAGTCCCATGGCTTGTGTTGCAAAGAGAACTGTTGGCTCTGCTCACCTTCGTATTTCCCAGGTGTTCGCAATAAAAGTGAGAGTGATGAACACACCTGTCGAAACGAGCTTCAGGCACTATAATTGTGGTGAACGAACTTGTGAATCTAATCCACGCACGTGCGTTTGGTTACGACCGGGTGTACTGTGCATCCTCGTGATCTCTTACTACGAAGAAACACACTGGCATAAAATCTCTTGATACTTCTTTTACAAGTAATGACAACCAATACATATGACAAAGCACAATTCGCTGAAACAAAATGGTGGCATTCAGTTGAAACATCTGCTGTGCGCCGCCATTTGCTTCCTAAAACCTGCACCGTCACGCAGTCGGCGCTTCAAAAAAATGTCGCTACTTGTAGGAAGCTATTATCTAGGGACTATACAGCCGCATGGCGCCATCTATGAGGCTTCCCTTGAACTGCCAACTAGATTGAAGGTTTTGCGGTGTTTCCGATATTAAATGTACATGCTATACATAAAACAAATAGTTGTGTATAACAATGTCGAATAGTGTTTCAAGTCAACGTGAAAAAACATTTCCGCGAAATACTAGAAAATATAAGGAAATCGCAAGTGTTCTCCGGCTACGCGACAGGTGTCGCCGGTGTATTCTCTCGTCGTAAAAGATCACCAGAGGTTGTAGAGCACTCAGTATGGACGAAGCACAAGTGTGTGAACCAGCCTTAACTGAGTGAGACCATACCTCAGATCCCGCTGGATGAGCGGTCTCTCGTAGAGAAAGACGCCGCCGTGAAAGTAGACCATAACGTCCAGTCCTGCACTTGCATCGAGAGTCGGCGTCCAAACGTTGAGGTACAGACAGTCCTCCTGGCTCACGATCCGAAGCTGGGCGCACCTTGGCGGGAGCTCGCAACACGTCTTGACTCCCGTCCACGGTTTGACAGGAACCGGCTTTCGGAACCTCAGGGGGCCAAGGGGTGGTTCCGCGAAGGGGATGCCCAGGAAGGAGTGGATGGTGCTATTCAACACGTTCTGTGTTAGGATGACGGTTGGAAATAATTTAAAAGACTCACTGACAGCATGGGAACGGTGGGGACTCTTTCTTTCGGATGCCCAACCGCCTGCACGTGTTCGCTGCGCGTGGACGCTCCAGACACGCGAGACGCCGAATCATTGTCGAACGTAGAATGGTCGTGGCGTAGGCGAGGCTAGGGTGCCTCAATGTCCTTCTGTTTAGGGTGATGCCACCCTTTGTAGTACCCGATGCCGACAGCACGCGCTCACGGGAAAAATACAAAGAAATCGACGAAAACAAAATGTCGCCATAGCACAGTCAGTGCCACAAACGCGTGCAGGGACACGCTCTTTCACGCGCTTCTGAACAAAAAATACAAATAAACGTGTGGGACAAAATGGCGAGATGCCATCACCCTAAGCAAAGCGCGCATGGAGGCACCCTAGGCGAGGCAATCGAAATACCTCCCTGCTGTTCTAATGCCGTTCTAATCTTATTAGTCATAATTTTCCGTTCACCCTTAAAGAAACTCCGCCTTCAACGTGAGCTCGCTGGCTTCCGCAGTGCTTTGGTTGCACGTTCACACTTGTGTTAGCAAGGGCAGAAAGCTCGCGCTGAAGGCGGAGCTTCCACTCTTAGCTTGAAGATGAATGGAGTATATAGTGCCATCTGATACTCCGTTCACAAGCGCGAGCTAGCCCGCGCTTCTGGGTTTGAGACACGTATTTGAGCGCCAGCGCTCGTCCTGTGGAAAGATCGCTTCAGTGCAGCGACACGGAGCTCTCGTGCTTTTGGCATTGAGTGCAGTCTCAGCTTAAAGGGGCAATGCAACCATTTTTGTACTTTGCGTAAATACCGCTTAAAACGGATCCCTAACGTTAATGACCCATGAAACACGCGTTCGTTTTTCACCCCACGCAATAGAAGTCCCAGAAAAAAATTAAAGAAAAACGAGCAGCGTTCACCCCCCCCCCCCCCCCCCCCCCTCGCAGCCAAAAAAAGCGGCCACGAGATCTGGAGCCGATTATATGCCGCCAATGTTGATCATAGCCACAGGCTGGGGTTGGCAAAGCACAGGACACGCGCTGAGTTCCCGACATTGTTATGACTCGGCTATTGTCGTCGTTGCAGCGATTGGACACGGGCCACCACTTGAATGCTTCTCGAGCTGGTAATTATCACGAGCCCAAATCGAGTGCCCACGCAATGCTCGGGTCCAATCTATGAACCGCATTCAAATATCGTTATCGGGGTGTACTGCGGTCCCCACGTTACGTCATCAAATATGCAAAGGAGAGTGAATGAAAATGATCGCTTTTGTCCTTGAAATTACACCGGAACAAAGGAGTTTCTTGGCCAGTGACGTTGCGTGTGAGTATCCTTGAGTCCCACTAGTGTCAGTAAGCTCGTGTAAAGTGAAAAACATTCCAACTGAATATGGTTGCACCGCTCCTTTAAAGGCTGGTTTACACAGTCACGTTTTCCCACGTTAGGTCACGTTACGAGAGTTTACGTCTGTTTACGCCACCAGTCACCGGTACATATGTGCTTTATATTAAGCGTGGCTGTCAGTTCAAGGAGACAGCCTGGCACGCGACTTTCCAGACACAAATTTTTCGGTGACTTGTATGTAACGTAAGGAAACGGTGCTGTCTGAACCAGCCTTAAATGTGAATGGAGCATAGCAGATATTCCCATGTGGTGCCCATTGTGTCCACCTTCGCACCCTGACTATTTCGTGAAGTATAGTATTTATATTGATTAAATTACCTACTTTAATAGAGTAGGCGATTGTGTTGTGTGCATGTTTACACAGCCGGATGTTAGTCAGCCCTAATGGACGTCAGATCTCTCAGCTTTAGATCAGCAAGTTAGCCCTTGCGGTACAACCGCTAGCCTGGGGTCTTTAACGTGCACCACGCAGTAGTGATACATGACCGCACGCCGGTACGATGTTCATCCTGATCAAAACGGGCAGGGGTAAGGATTAAAGTCAGTTTTTTTTTTTTTAATTTTTACCCCGGGTTCTTTTCTTATTTTTATGCAACCTTCTTGTACTCGTAAAAAAATACCTAAAGGGAATTTACAACGATATTGGGTCAGATTATTTTTATGCCGATTTGCATTTTTACTTTAGCTAATTCTAGCCTTAAAAAAGTGAAAGTTGGCCGGCTGCCAAACACCTGCGCCGCTAATTCTTTCGACCGCACTGCTCAAAAGGCATATCCTGCCTTTTGCCCGGTTATTCCAAAACAGCGCGTATGAATAAAGAAACAAACAAACTGCAGAGAAAAGAAGACAGGAAAACAGAAGAGGCAGGAGAGAGGACTGCGAGGCGTTTAAAGAAAGAAATAAGACGGTCCTGGAAGGCTGGAACTGGAGAGAGCGTCCGCTGCGGTTTCACAAAGCAGAATTCTGCAGAACATGATTTTATTAATAGATTGAAATACAAATGTGAAGGCTCGTTTCCTCTGGACAAGTATATTGGCACTGTTGTTGACCAAATGTACTTACTTGCAACACTGCTGATCTAGACGCTTATTTATCGGGGGTGTAATTTGAGGTATAAACGGCTATATTAAGCGTTGTCTCTCCTCTGTGAAAGCTTCATGATCTAGTGGCGGGAATTGCAGTGTTGACGTAGTCGCAGAGACTGCCTCTTGGCGACGATAGTCAAAAGCGGCTCATGGATTGTGAACGAGCACAGCGTCAGCACTCGATTCGGGCTCGTGACATATGACACGGCGAACATTCGGGTAGTGGCTTATGTCCATTCGTTACAATGACAAGTATAGCTAAACTCTAATCAGGCGTGTAACTGAGCATGTGCCCTCTGCTTTACCAACCCCAGCGCGTGGATACGATGGACATGGGGGGCGAATAATGGGGACGAGATCCCGTGGTTGCTTATTGTGCTGCGAGTTGAAGGGGTGAAGGCTACGACAGTGATCGTATTTCTCAATTTTTTTTCTCACTATTTCCGTTCTGCAGAGAAAAAAATAATGAGTGCAAGTGAAGGAAATATGGCGGTGGCGAAAAGGAGTGATCACATGAGCAGACGACATGTCGGCCATAATTTCCTCGTTCGTCGGAACACGTCTGGTAGTTGTTTGCGATCAGAAACATCGTACCTTTCCAGTTGTCTTCCCTCTCCTCGTTCGTAAAGCACCGGTAAATTACCGAAAGCTGTAGAAAAAGTAAGACAGGCATTGCTACCCCTAGTGGACGTCACCGGTGTTCGGAAAACGAAAGCCACACCTCAACGCCACTGCCTTTTCTTCGCGTGGAACAGACGAGTCTTAGACGTAAAGGATGCCTCTCTTTGTCTCTACCAACCTTCTGGCAAAAATTGACGACTTGCAAACTTTAACTTCGCAAAAATAAATAACGTGTAAAAACGAGAAAAAAAGAAATAAAATCACACGGTAATATATAACTTTCCTGGCATTCACTGTGACGGGCTTAGGATAAAAAATCAGATTTGAATGTTGGAACCACCTGTTGCATATTTTGGGGAGAGGTAGAGAGTTTTTGGAAGCAGCTGTACCATCTATTCCAAAATGCTATTAAGCTGCAGTCATAAACGATGTAATGGTATTGCAACTTATCACGCGTTCATGTGTTACTACTGCTCTGGGATGAGAAGCACTGACCTGTCGGAATCCTTGTATGAGACCACTGTGAATTTCAACGATCTCGGTGTTGTCCGTGAGTAACTTTCGTCTATGGCGACCACTGGATTGCGGCATGAGCAGGATCATCGCCAGGATTTTTGATAGAAGTAGAGAGCTCTCAAACAGTCCTGCAGGGCGGCAGGAAAATTGTTTTATTATTACAATGATCATAAATTGGATTGCTCAGTCACAATACAGATAGTTGTTGATACGTGACAAAGTAACTTTTATAGATATGCCCCACGCTAAGACACGTAAAAAAAAAAACAGAAAGTGTCAGAGAGAGGGTATTTCTGTTTTATTTTGTGAACCTTTCTTCCTGATGGCGATGGATAAAACAAATATTTTCTACTATGCCTAGATTAGTTTGGCCAATGCAGTTAGATGAATACACTCCCCCTTTCTCAAGGAAGCATAATGCTGAATAGACTTTTTTTCTGGTACGTCGTGAATGAAGATATTTTATCTATGAGCGAATAAAAATATGTAAATTTGAGGGTAGTTGAGTTGTATTGAGCCTAAATACAAAGATTGTTCACCTACCGACCCACATGTCAAAGCCTGATCACATCACTAAGTTTTCACGGGGCTGGAGGTGTTCCACGGCAGTTCCATCAGATTACTTTGGCATTAAAGTGAACTAAATTTAGCATAATTGTGTCATTGATAATGGGAGGCGTCCGATGGTTCCCGGTAGGCCTAATCTGGACTTCTGCCTTCTTTTCTTTACTGGGTGGAACAAAATATAATTAGGGAATAAATAGAGAAGAAAATAATGTTTTATTTTCTCGTTCGGGTGTGACAAAGTAATAACCTGGGTGTATTCAACGTCTTGATCGGTTAATTTCTTGGAGTGAGTGCCAACAGCTCTTGAATGTACCCACCATGTCGTTTGCCACGATCCTCTAAAATATCAAAGCCTATTTCAGAAAAAAAAAAAAAAGACGACGAGGAATTTGGCAATATAAAGCACCCTTGGTATGTTTGTGTTTGTATTACAACTATTGTCAAATGCGGCAAAGCATGAGGCCTGTGCCTCGCGTGGCCAGTGTGGTCCTTGAAAGCAAAAATGGCGGCAGAGCAGTGAAATGAGCGGTCCTTGGAAGCAAATGGCGACGGAGGACTCGCTCGTAGCACGCGTCTCGCGCATTTGCACAACAATGGTCGTCGGTAGTTGCAAGAAACAGGAAGCGAAATTTTTATCGGGGAGTTTTATGTAATGGGGTGTTCGAGTAGGTTGTGCGCTGCGCATTGAGAACCTAGCGGGTGCCTGCTTCCCCTAGCAAAGCATAGCCCTAGCGTACGGTCAACTAAGCATTTCTAATAAGGAGTATTCACTGGGTGCCATATTTGTGGGTGATGTTTAGAGCGCGTGCTCTGAACGAGCCCGCATTAATAAGCTGCTAAGACCGGCAATCCTTGATGGTTTCGGAATGCACGTTACAAAAGAACTGTGGACGCTCGCCATCAGCACGCGCTCAGCAGTCGTGCATACAGCTATGGCCGCCAGTAAATACTTCCTATACAGACTTTTAGTAGATCGCGTTTTCAGGCCACGCTCTTTGTAGTGGGAGCTCGCGCTGCCAGTTCGATGCATGCTCTTAAGCGCGCGCCCTTAAAGGGGGATCCACACGAAGGAGAAATCCGCGGCGTTCCTCCGCGGATCGCGCATCACGTGAGACATACGTCATCCCTTTTTGACGCCTCGCGGCGCGTTCTCCTCCGTGGCGGAGGCGCGGAGGCTTTGTGCTGACAGCACGAAAGCTCCGCAAGTGCACGCGGCGGAGCCGGGGACGGAGTTTCCCGGGATGTTGACGTCACGACATCCGTCCGCGGAGTTCTCCTTCGTGTGGATACCCCTTTAGCGGTACCACCCATTTGAAAACGATCTACCAAAACTCTCTAATATGATCCTATGTATACTGTATCGTTGCCTGTCTCAGTGCAGGTTAAGTATCCGCCAGAAGCTGCGTCTTCAGCGCGAGTTTTCTGCCTGCCGCAACTTCGGGTCTCTTGAGCACGCCCAGCCAGAAGGCAAGGAGTTCGCCTGGAGGCTGACTCGTTTTCTTTTTTGGCTCAAAGCAACGTTACTAGAACACTCAGTTGGGAAACTCACCGCTGAAACCGGGGCCGCTGGCATCCACCGAGACCGAGCTAAATACGACAACAGCGCCACTCTTTATCATTTGTCTGTACTGTGGTCACCTTAAGCTTTAAGAAAGCACCTTTTTTTCGTAAAAACAAACGGAAAATAACTCGTGTAATAACTTTTGCTGGAGTTTAGTGCAAAGTGAAGGGCGCGCGATGTTTTCTAAAATCTTTAGTTTGCAAGGTTTTGCGGCACAATTAATATTGTTCTCATACAACCATGTGTCAGCGGTGATTTCAGGTAGCGCGTCCCGACTTAGGTGCATCCTAGCTTCGGTAGTAATACGCGGCGGGTCCGTTTGGGAGGCGGGGGTGGCACCTTTGAAACCCCTACCACTGTATATGTTTCGGCGCCAAAATGGCCGATTAAAACCAACATAGAAGCCATGTGCAGTTCCTTGAGTGGCCGCTACGGGAGAAATGGCGGCGTTCCGATCGCCATTAGCTCGGTTCTCGAGTACGGATCGGTGCCACTTTTTCAGAGCAGGCTCTATGGCAGTTTCCCAACTGAGTGTTTCTATTAATGTTGGCTCAAAGCATCTAGCATTGAGATCTACCGACTATTTTTTCAGTCGGCCAATCAGAGCTCGGCGTCGTTCTAACGTCCCCGCAACTCCTGCTCAAGAAGCAGATATACTTGCTTTCCGCATAGAGCCGGAAGATAGTCGGCCCTAATGCCCCATCTACAGCTGTAGATGAGAAGTTCAGCCAGCGCAGTACAATCAATAGCCTAGGGTTTTTAACGTGCACCACGCAGTGGTGTTATACGACCGCACGCCGGTACGATGATCATTCAGATTGAAGCGAGGAGGGCTGGGGATTGAACCCAGGATACACGAGATCTGCAGCGCGAGCTTTCTTTCCACGCGCTTTGAGCTAATGTACGCTAACACGCTCGGCCACCGATTCCTCCGTGCTCCTGTGCCTTTGACAACACTGGGACTGTACACTGTACAGCCACACAAGCCTGTCCGCCGTCGCAGCTCGGAGCCAGGAGAAGCGCGAACTTTTGCTGCTGAACAAAGGAACCCTGGGTTCAAAATCCAACCCTTGTCCCTTTCAATCAAGCTGAACATCGTGCCAGCGTTCGGTCGTGTGTCACTACCGCGTAATTCACTTTAAATACCCCAGAACAGCAGGGGCACTGCAAAGGCTAAATATCTCATCTACAGTGGAGACAGAAAGAGCTGTCTAACTTCCCGCTTCGAGAAATTAGACAGCCCCAATATGTAATTACGAAAGTGTCAAAACGATGACACTATCGTTATTGCCAAGACTGGAACCAGTCACGATCATGGAAGGTATGGCTAAACGTTGCTATGCCTCGGTTGTCGCAGGCACTGATATCAGGCACCAAGCATATGAATGCCTGTCCAGCGTTTGACTGCTGAAGAATGCGCTGAATTACGCTCGTGGACTCCGCAGCATCTTCTTTAAAAGTTGTATTTCATTTCGTAAGACTTCTTTAGCCATGCGATTTTACTATCAAGATTCAGCCGGCAAACATTCGCCAAAATTCACAACTAACTTGTTTTTTTTTCAAAGCCCCTCCAGCTTCCCTTGGGGGAACTGGAGGGGCTTTGAAGAAACATTTGGACAAGTTCAGCTGTAAACAGAAGGGAAACATGTATCCGGTGACCCTGTCACATGGAAGCAAAAATAACCTCCGGGCTATGTTGTTGTCGTCTGGCAGACAGGATGGCTGACTGTCGTCCGACAGTCAGGTAACATCCTGCCACACAGCAAGTAGGAGGCGGGCACATTCGGCCATGTATTTGTTGATTTCCGTTCGTGCGCTCTGAAGCGTTGCGGGAATGTGCTTCTACGAATTGCTTACGTGTTCGATGACCTAAACGTTTGCTACGGTCTGACATTTGCCAATGGCAGTGATTGAAAAACTCGGCATGAGAAAGTCCCGCTCACCATGTTATCAAATCGCTCTTTCCCTCTCAGAGTTGTTAGAGAGACTTTACTGGGAAATACTACGTGAGCCAAACGTGCTATTGTCCATTAAAAAAAGAAGAAAAAAAAAACGTGTATAAATTGATTTTTTAACGCATCAAGCTTTAATTTTTTAAAATCGTAACCGAAGGTGGGGAATTTTATGTATAAATAATTACAGGAGCGAGCTCAAGTTTAGGAGTAAGTCAATTGCAACACGTTAAAAGATACGACAATTCCTTTTATCTTTCTGCTTTATACCGTAGGTGGTCCCTACTTTTTTATATTGTTTTCAACCATGCATGGACTGGTTTTCTCTCAGTTTCTATCCTTGTAAACCTTCCAACGTTTTGTGAAGAGTGACTCTCAGCTGAGATGACGTTGTTTAAAAATGTCGACTGACTGTTTGGCCTTACCGTGTTTCCTCAATAACTATTCTTAGAAGTTGTAGATTGACAGTTTGAGTTTCGTATCTATAATTGGTCCATTCGCCAATCACTTCTCAGTTTTATAGAAGTATACTTGTATATTTGTGGTGACGCTTTGCCTATAGAAATTCGTCTAGTTTTTCGCCACTTTTTACGAATATTACTTCTTTTGCAAGAAGTGAATAGACACTTGGTTTTATTTACATAACGATACTATTGCCGCTGCTACGGCATTTATAATTTTATCATTTTATAATGACATCTCATCTGCACATCGAGCTTGTTTGCCATGAAGGCTAATGCCGCACAGTGAATATCTTGAATTTATCAAAAGAGGTGCATTTTGTTTTGATTAATTTAACCTTAAAAATTATAGTGATAAATCTAACGCCTGGTCACTGCTGCAAGTATTATATGAAACAATCAAGTTGTAATAAGGCGATTTCATTTTGCGTGCGAAAAACGTAGATGCATTAAAAAAAAAATAACTGAAAATACATTTGAGTCAAACTCTTGACTGAAACGAAGCTTCGAAACATATAAACGACAATTCTTCAGTTTTTGAGCTTTTGACTTTAAAGGGATGGACGACAAAATTTGCGATTTCACTC